TAATATTTGCATATTCGAAACGATTGTTAATCCAGTAGATAGTCCTATCCGGTGAGGAAATTAGATATATAATTTCTATACATTCAGAAAGAAATAATTGTTTATTTATTGCTTCAATTGTGATGAATTAATTTGCAGTTTTCAGTGATTAGTTTTGATGCAAGAGCAATTTTTATCTTCGACTTTTAATTTCTTTTTCAAGTTATATAACTTTTTAATATGATCGAAATATAAAAGAGTAATTTAAAAATATATTTAAATCGAATTTAATTATCTAAAAATAATATTTTTAAGCTATTCTTTTATATTTTGATGAAAAAAAAATCAAAGAATAGCTTAAGTTTTGATTCAATTTTTTTGTAACGTTAAGAGATGCTTCTTTCGATACCAATAATTATAATAAAAATGTTAACAGAATTATATATAATAAAAAATTTAATTACTTCAAAATCAAGAAAAACCATTTTACAAGACAAAGCGGCTCTAAGAAACTATCCAAATTCCAAAATACATTGTAAAGAACGAAAGAACATACAATACATTCAATGGAAAAAACAGAACAAAACTACTTTATCATAAAAAATAATGAATAAAATTTAATTATAATTTTTAATGGAGAAAGAATTATATTTAAGATAATTTATTTTAAAACATTTTATATCTAAATATCAGTACTTCAAATGGAAAAAAATATATTTAGTCAGGCAACTAGAACAAAACAAAAATTCCATTCCATTAGAGAACCACTAATTGTTCAACCATAGAAGATTAAAATTTTGATTACTTCTAAGTTTCTCGATATTAAATAAACTTAAGAGAAAATTATTCTTAAAAGTAATTTATCAACAGATATCAGTGAACGGAGAAGGGAACCTTAATGCAAAGTTATTTTAAAACTATTCAACATCGTCGAAAGTATTTTATTGAATTTGATCATTCGATAAATAATTCAAACGAAATAAATTTCGTAAATAAGAAGAGTACAAATTCTTGTTTGGATCTAAGTTGCGTCTAAAACAAAATGATTCTTTGCCGGACGGAAAAGTAATTGACTGAGAAGTCACATAGCCCACGTCTTCTCTAGACTTGGTTCTATGAACTTTGTGATTGGTTTACACGGGTAAATATTTTAGTGCAAAGAGCATCGATCCAACCTAGTACAAGAATTTGAGAGAGAAAGCTTATGTCTTTTGAGAGCTAAGTTGATACGGACATTGTAAAGGCTTGTTTGTACTCAGTTTGTTTTCATTTAGTAATCTAATATTTATTCTCTGTTAAGTTTAATTTTTATCTAAATTCTTTCTCAAACACAATTCGCTTTTTTATACTTTCCAACACCGCACTAAAGAAAAAGAGAAGGAGAGAGAATATAATAGAATAACTTATTAAGAATATTTTCCTCTTGTTCCTCTCGATTTTCTACAAAAATCCACTAATTCCTCTTGGCAACCGAGACACGAGAGACCGACATAAAGTTTTTCAAAAATGTAAATAATAAATGAGTTAACACCAATCGAAAATATTTATTTAAAAACACAATTAAATATTAATTTTTTTCGTAGAAGTAATTACATATTTACAATTTAATCACGGTGAATAAAAATGAAGCTAATTCGAGAACGTGTGAATGGAAGAAAAATTAAAAAGAAAAAAAAAGGAAAAAATTGTTGAGAAAAATCTATAAAGTAGTCGTAGCGTGAACGGAACACAATATAGATAGATGTTTAGATATATTATGCAGGAAAAATAATTTGCATATGTTAACATTTTCAAAAATATATTCTTCGCCTGTTCGAGAACGATCTTACGTGTACATATTGTATTCCAACAATATTAGATACTTATATTTTTCCTATTTTACAAAACTCAAGAATAAAAATTCCAAAAGAAACAATTATATTTATTCAGTAAAGTTGTAAATCTTACCAAGCGGAAAATAGAATATAAAATGAAGGCAAATTGTATGCAAAACATTTAACTCTTCATATTTAAATTTCTCATTTTTATTTATTTATTTTTTCTGTAAAAATATCTCTTTCCTAAATGAATTCTTACCTGTGATCAAAAACTGATTCTTTATAAATTAAAAAAAAATTTATAAAACAAACAAAGGCTTAAATAAATATTAAATAAATTCGTGTAAATATTCTTATTTTTAATTTCGAATTCGTCTCACGTCACACATTTATATCTTAGATATTTTTCTATTTTTTGATGTTTACACTTCTTCATAAGGAAGTTTCTTAGATATTTCTTTACGCAACGTTAATCACCATTAAAAATTTTCTTTGCTAAGCTCTTGAAAGTAGGTAGAGCCGATTTAAAATCAATAAGTGAACACGTGTTACTTATCTACAATTTTCGGTGAGTTTCGCTATTTCTTCTCAGTTACTTATTCAGCAGATGATGATCAAACAAGTTCTACAATTACTCTTTCTATCATAAAAATAAATAATTAAAAAAAAAAATAAATAAAAATATATAAAATTGGAATGTGATACAGACCCAAAATTAATGGTAATCAATTAAGACTGTAATTAACTTTACACGGCGTAAGTTGTAAACACGTAATAAATTATTTTGCATGGAATAAAATTATGAAATATTTACTAAGTTACTACTTTACTATTAAATCATTAATGAGGATTTTTAATGTTTTAATATTTTTAAAAATGATAAATAAGAGAAAAATACCACGTTTCTGATTCTAGAATTATTCAGCTAATTACGTTTAAACTTATCGAATGAACTTTGTACGAAAATATTGATTAAAACTAAGCACTTAATAATATATTAGTCACAACGTTAGAAATTGGCTATTTTATACGAATTTTATATCAAAATTTTAATTATTAAACAAAAGAAATCAACTAAACTTGATTAAAGTTAAGTGTAATGATCAAATTTATCAATAAAATTTGAACAGTTATTTTATTTAGTAACTAGAAAACATCATTAAATTGTTACATTTTTATTAATTGCCAGAAACACTTAGAAAAGAAAAAAAGAAAGAAAGGAAAGGGGCAATAAAAGAAAAGTATAGAGATAAAGAAACAACAGATTTTTCTCTCTTCTCGAGAGAATGTCTCACTTCTTAAATTTTAGAAGTGGATCCTCGAGAGATTCACCTCTTCTTTAGAAAAGCTTTTTTTTTGGGTACTTATGTATATGATATAGAGAAAAGTCCGAGGGTCACAAAGAGTAGTAATGCTTTATTCCCCACCCGGTAACACCATTTCTAGCGAGCCTGGATAATTCATATTTTAACGCCAGAAAAAGTAGGCAAAATAAAAGAATGCCTACTTAAATGTTCTAGAATAAAATTCTTTCACACTTGAATATTTGAAAAAAAAAGAGGAAGCCATGCTGCATGAATAATTTACAAATTGTAACCGCAAATGCGAATTGCAAGAAGTTGCCAAGATAAGAATAGCGCATACTTTCTTATACCAGAGTAACAATAGAAAAATTTAATTTTCTAACAAGTGCTAGTTGATTCCCGAATGCAAACTTCACTAATTCTAATTAAGAAATTAGAATCGTAATGAGGTGCTTAGAATTGTCATCGATGAAGTCGTTCTTGCACTCGCTTCTAATTTTAAAAATTAATTTCGAATTTTAAGTTTTAATAACAAGAAAGATTTTGTAATTAATTGAGTTTTTTAAAAAAATTAATAAATATAATTAAAAATACACAGAAAGGGTGGAGTAAAAAACTAAAGTAAATCGGACTAGACGAAATTAATAAACGAAAACATTCGTTCATCTTCATAAAAGCTTTCTATACGTAATTTTATAATTTTGATTCGATAGAATCAAGAATGAAAAAGTATATTGAAAAAAAAAAGTTGTATTAATTAAGAAGACGTGGCATAAATATTCATACGTGCCAAAGAAGAATTTTTTTAATTCAAAAACAGTCAGAAAACTTTGAAAGACTTTATCCAATTAATTCTTAATTTAGAAGATTAAAAAAATATATATCATAAAATCAAGAAGCGAATATTTATTAAATTTATGAATAATATAGTTTATAAATTTAACATTTTACAAGTTAACATCTTAAATTAAGAATAAAGTTAAAAGTAATTTTTATATTAATTAATTTAATTATTTATATTAAACGAATAGTTTATAGTCGAAGGTGATAGAGTTATAGTAAAAGAAATTCCAGATTGTCTGTTATTGGAAATAAGCTACAAGTTATTATAGGATCGGAACTATTGTTGACATAAGCGGGTAATAACCAATGCCGAAAGATATAGACAATAACAAATCCTCGGTGATAGACTTAAACAACAATTATGACATGTTAATATACGTTATATTAGAGAAGGGTTGACAAAAAGGACATTTGCCTCCTTCCTTAAAGCGACCATATCCATAAATTCTTATACTCCAGAGCTATTAACGGAGATTAATAGAGTTGTAAGTAACAGATAGCTAAGGTGTATTTTAGCAACAATTATTTGTTATTAGCGTTTAAATCAACCTCTAATTGGATCGATTTTTTTAAAGCTAAGTCGACAATTCTCTGCTATTAAATTAATTCCTAAAGAGTTCAATTAATTCTTTAATTATTATCATCGTTTCCAAATGTCAAAATTCGATTTTTTTAAAAACAATTAGACACGTAAAAGATGTAATTTTAGAAGATTATCGTCTTTTAGTTCGAAAAGAATCGAAAAAATCAGAGTTTATATCTCTTTGCATTTACATATTTTAAAGCGCTTTTAAACGATAGAGAGCTTATGTTAAAAGGATTTAAATCTACGATTTCTTTCAGTAAAAGCGCATATTTTCCACGTCCTATACGAAGAATTTTCTTCTATAAAGGTGAACAAGTATAATACTTTTCGGAAAAGTTGCACTAAGCAAAAGTTACCTTTCGAATCGATCTAATGCTCACGCGAAACTTCCTTTCCCACCTCCAACGAAGTGGAGCGACTCGATTGCCTAGGCTGATTCAAAACGGCTGAATTCAGAAGGTGCCACAGATCCGGTACCAGTCAGACTGTCGGAACCAAGAGAAGAGCAGACGTCTGACGAGCTGATCGTATTAATCAGAGTCCAAAGGATCGGCTTGTTGCACGTGGAGGACATGTCACGTTGTCAGCTACCATTCATGGCTGTGCCCAAGTGGTTTCCTTTGATGATAGGATCGTTTCTACACATTGTCGGTAAGGCAATCCGCTTATTTTTCTTCGATAATCGTAAACGCGCCAAAGATAACGTAACGATATCTTCGTTTCTTATCCTATTCATCTTTTAATCAATGAAGTTTTCTAGAGAGAGCATTCGAATGAAAAAACAAAAATTCAAAGTAAATTAATCGATGTTCTTTAAAAATTAATATATATATATATATTAAAATGGTCATTCTCAAATGTACAAAAGTTTAATTGAATGAGAGCAATTTGAAATTTGAATAGGAGAAAAATCAATTTATATTAATAATTTTGTTTTAACGTTTAAGTAAAGAGGAAAAACCATTAAAATAAATGTAAATTCTTCTTAATGGATTGCTTCTGTTTAGTGATCTTGTGCTACCCGATTTTAACGTTTAGCGATTGTATTTCTGCCAAACGAAGTCATTCAAAGTTCTTCCTTAATATTGTTAACGATTTGGGCATTAAATCAGATTTATTAATCTTCTTAATCGATTAAGATATGGTCGACCATTAAAAAACGATTAGAAAGTAGCAAATTCGGTCCGGTAAATTACTTAATGCGATAAAGTCGGAGTAACATTCGGTGGTTATGTTATTACTAGATTAATAACTATAAAATGTAAGCCAAGCGGAGGGATGAGACGTTTTAATTTGAACAATTCTAAAATTTCGCCACCAATACAGGTTAATTATAATTAAAAGTCTTTAGTTTTAATAAAAATTTCGCGTAATCATAAATTATAAATAGTTTGAGGGATGTTTTTGAAAGATTTTATGTGAGATTCCGCGTATAATGCGCACTAAATACGTATAATCTACGATATCAAAAGATACGCAAATTCCGATCTATATCCTTTTGAATTTAATCTAACGAGTCAAAAGCTATTTATAAAATGTATTTATATGCAAAAATCATGCGAGTAAGAAAAATTTCATCGATCGAAAATCGAAAGTTGAACAATTAAAATACTAAAAAAAATATAGAAAGTTAAAGAAAGTATATATTTATATGTATAACAATTACCGAATGAAAATTGAATGTTTCCAAGAAAAGTTTTATCGCAACCGGACCACAGGTGTTCGTAAATGCTTTCCAATCTTTGCTCTTACCTATTCTTGTTCTTTAATATTTGAAATGAGATTATTTTCTTGTACTGATTGGCATGTCATAAACAGAATGATGGCTGTCAATACCATTCGCCTTTTCTTACTTTTGGCCACATATCTTACATTTCTGGGTAGTTTCAATGAACGAACGAAATGAGATATGTGCAGGGCGTAAGAAAAGACTTTAAATGAATTCGTACAGAATAAGTTACCTTCTCGAGATACTTTACATTTTACTTTAATTCAAAAAAATCTATAAAATTTCTTCGATAGCTCTTATGTTAAAAAGTATGATTTGTGGTAAGAAAATCGCATTAATCTAAGACGATTTGGAAATTTTTTCTTATTAAAATACATCGAATTTTTTTAAAAATTTTATCTTTATATTCTTGTTTAAAATTTAGTCAAACGTAGATGAGAAACGAAAAAAAAAACAATGTATAAATATATATAAGAAATATATTTTCTCGTCTATCACTCTCATTTTGCTAAGGAAACTATTGTGGTAGATCGTTATCTGCTATTTTGTTATAAAGGAATGATTCTACTCCAGAAAAATAACAAAATAAGCAACATTAGAGCGACAGAACGAACAATCAATTACCAATCAGTTTCTTGCTGATCAGCCTATCCAACTTCTAGTTATATGTTTATGTTGCAGGTGTAACACACTAATATTGCACCGAACATAAATAAGAAGTTTTTCAGGAACCATAAACTATATTCTAATCAAAATTTAGTATACAAATTTATATATATTTTGAAGCAATTTTTAAATATTTTGTTGTAACAAACTATAACAGAATTTATTGAAGTTTAAACAGAATTTTAATGAGATAAAGATTTTTTTTAATTGTTTATTGAACACGAAATTTAAAATACGAAACTATTATTCTTATTTATTTATTTGTTTATTTCGAATAAACTTGGTTTACTATTATTTATTAGCATTTCTACCAAGCAAACGACGACGTATAGAATTTGGATAAATTTATCACGATGACGGCTTGTCTCTGGTGGTGATGCCCTGAATAAAATGTTAGCAGTAAATGAAATGCATAAAAAATACACAAGAAATATAAACAAATGATTGAATATCTTTATTAGAAACAGAACAAAATTCAAAATTCAAACGAATATACTATATATACCTATATACATCCTCATGAAACACGTAAAAACGAGAGAGAAAAATTTCAAAATGACATTAAAAAAAGTTTCAGGAAAAAAACTGTTAAATTACGTTTCCAATTTAATATTAAAATAAAAGATAAAAATTCACGAATAATTAATAATTTTAGAGAGTAAAGATTGATTTTTTTGAACGTGAACATTTCACCTGCAACATAAAATTTCAATAAAAAGGTTAAACATGGGTGGTTCCAATAAGAAAATTAAGTATATAGAACACTTAAGTATGTTTATTTTAAAATATTTTCGTGATCTATAAAGATTTTTTTCGTAGAAAGTTATATGTGTTGCATGTATCACGCTTGCATCGTGAATACGTGTGAGATGAAGTAAAGGTGAATATGTAATAGTACTTTGCAATAAAAACTGTCATGCCAATATAATAATTGAATTATTAATATTTATTTATTTATTTATTTATTCGTTCTTTTCAAATATTGAGCTCACGAACGAAGAGGAACACGAAGATTAACTCACTGATTTTAATAACAAATGTTCAATGTTTATTTTTTAATTAAATGATATATTAAATTAATTCTGGTTATCAAAAATATATCTTGAACAAAAAGCAGAAATTGTGGAAATAAAAAAAAACATTGAAATTCAAGTACATTAAATAAATATAATTGTTATGTTTCATAATTATACTCGACAGATAATAAATTATCGATGTAATTTAGAAATGTTCCAAATTTTACTGGATATTTTTTCCTTGCGAAAAAAAAACTCATTGCTCTTTGATCTTTTTAAAGCTTTCAACCAAAGAAAAGAAGCAAAAAAGAGGGTTTTTACTGTGTACAGTCACAGACACGTCTATTAAATAAACTTTCTTTTATTTTTATTCTCCGTAGGATTTATTTGATAAAAATACAACTCATCATTTTTTTTTCTTTCTGAGCGAGAGAAAACTATAATTTTTGTTGTGTTTTTTTGGATTAATTATATGATATGATTTATAGTAAGTCAAAGTAATAGTAGCTGTTTAACATTAGTAAAACACTTAACGTAGTTTAAATTTTTTTTGATGAAAAAAAAGAAGGGATTTTTAATGTTAAAATCTTCAGTTTTCCAATATTGCAATTCAGAAACTATAATGAATAAGAAAGAAAAAAAAAATATTCCAAAAGCTGTTAGTAGAAAGGAAAAGAAGAAGAAAAAAGATTATTCAATATTTTTTCTAGGTTACGTGACTAGGTATTGGACAATGTCACGACAGCTTAAAGTTAAAAGGATTGGATCGAATTTTGACCATTTCTCCAAGGCAGACTTTGTATCAAAACGTTGTTAAACACTCAATTCATTTTTGTTTGAGTTGATTAATATAGCTTTAATACTGTTATAAATTTCGAGTTAAAAATAGAGGTAAAAATTTCAGAGTTCACTTTGATCTTTAAGTATATATATAATCTAGGAGTAATGCTTGCAATTTAAATTATTTATCTTAATCAAAGATGGAAATTAGGAATAGAGCATAGTTAGGTTTAAGGAAAAGAAAAAACATTGGCTATGATGTGTTTTTATTGATGTAAATGACTAAAAAGAAATAAAAAAATTTTGTCCTGTCAAAATAATTTAAGAACTCGATCCGACCCGATAAGTCGGAAAATAAACCGATTAGATCGAGAATAAGAAGAAGAAGAATTCCCTAACTGGCGAATGGAACAGGCCCTGAGCAGATTGAAAGTTAAAACTTACAGAAGGAAATATACTTTGTCACAAGAATGTCTCCTGTCAAACTTATCTCTTGTAAAGCCGCAGAGGTTCAGATCCAAACGTTGTTGTCACCAAAAAAGATGAAAACAAAGCGGTGTTGTCACAAGCCGTTTGCTAAAAATCTCATCTGATGTAAAAAGTGAAAAACAGCTCGAATCTTTTGGAATTTCCCAGAGATAGTTGGCTACTTTTGTCTTATGTATACATACAATAGTAACCTTTTAGAATAGACGACTATTCCCTTTCTAACAATCGATAAGAGAGACGTATAAGATCTCGTTGCACAATCTAGAGGTTGTTTACTAAACCCTGGCACGACTATGTTCTCTTATTTCCTCTGTAGGACCAAGTGGTTGAGGTTTGAACCGAAGAAGCCGTCGTATCGATTTATACCAACCTCATTCTACCTAATCCTTTAAACGACCCCGTTTCGTTTCACTGGGCGGTAAAGCTATGAAAATGAAAGCATCTCTGTCGACTAGTCTCCTTCTTCTCTTATACCTTCTGTGATCCTAACACGCTGTTCTTTTCTCCAATATCTTCTTTTTTTATTATTATATTTTCCAATCTTTAAAAGTTGTCGAAGAAACCTATAAATGCATTTGTGTAATTTGTGGTTTTTTTCAAACCTTTCATCTCTTTCCATTCTTTCGATATATGTGTATACGTATAGACAATTTAAATAGGAAATTACTTCTTTTCTAGGGGAAAATATTCTGATATTTTTGAAGAAAATACAAATACCTTTATTCGTGTTTAGTAATAACGTTTACTGCTATACTTCGAAAAGTTTTTGACAGTAATAAGCAGTGGAAAGTTTGATAAATTATCACTTTTCTGACTCGAGATGTTTCAAACTTGTATACATACCAAGGGACATAAATATTTATATAACTGTTATGAATAGCTAAAACGAAACTAGAAGAATATAAAATAATTTTAACTATTAAAATTATATATATTTTTATAAAAGACAATTACCGTAAAAATTACTTAAA